GGAGTACCTCAGCGTTTGGATCTGTGTGGTTCTTGAAGCACATACCCAGTACGCGAGCGTGCCATCACAATCTCATATTGCCCCTGCCATTCCCAAGTGAATTTTCCTGGTGTGCCAGCTTGAGGGCTTGGTCGGTGTAGCCATACGCGGCCACCGTTTCGATATTCAGGGCGTCGACTTTGTCAACCTTAATACTCCTTTTGATTGTGATGCGCTCTGTGCATGTGCACTGAGCGTTTTGCAAGGCCACTCGGAGCCGCTCTCGGGTATCGCGGAAGGTTCCGATAAAGAAAAAGCTTCAACCGGATTGATAGGCGCTAGTACTTCCAAAGGTAAGCAAATCTCACGGCTAAGAGTAAGGTAAGCTGGAGGATAGCCGGTTGTAGAGTGCACCAAGGCCCGATAGGCAAGCATACATTGTGGTAATTTGTAGTCCCACTGGTTAGACTGATGGCGTTCGACGAAGCCCTGTTGGTATGCGCAACAAGCCCATTCCCTTGTGGATGATACGAAATCGTTCTTGTCTTTTTTAAGGGCTAGCTAGCGGCACATTACTTTCATTAGATGACTTCAGAAGGCCGCGCCCAGATCGGGGTGCAAGGATATGGGTGCGCCGTAAGGAGCCACCCACTGGTTGACAATATTGGAAGGGATAGTAGATGCATTATGGCACCTGGTAGTTATCGCCTCACAACGCTTCGTTAAGTAATAAATCATAGTATGAAGCAGTTCCCGCTCTTCGTTATCGGCAAAGGACCAACGATATCTACTCCAATTCGTTGCCCCGGTGCTGAAATAACTAATGGTGCCAAATGAGAAAGGGGGCAGGCACTATCGGTTTCAAAGTAGCACAGAGCTCATTGGACGCACGGAATTGAACGACATCAGCGTGGCTTCCCGGTCACTGGTCCCGTTGACGAACTGCAGCCTCCGTTCGCAAATGACTGGAATGGCCCAATTGTTGCTGAACTTTTTGTAGTTTTCCAAGCGATCGGGTCATCGGAGTAATCACTTTCGGACTAGATTTATCTATGCGATACAGAACACCGTCAATAAATAAATAAATAAATAAATAATTTATTCTCGACTCGGCGAGGCACACCCATGGAGGCATGGTCAGATATGTACAACTGTACAGACATTTAATGGCAAATGGAACAGTGGCAGTAGAAAATTGTTCCTATGTCCATGATTGGAACTGTAAAATGGTGAAAATGCGAAATAATAATTTGGCTGTCGTGAAACCAGGACCTCGGCTAATAATAGACTGAAAACCCTGAGTGATCCATTGGAAGATAATTGAAGAGCACGCTCAAGAGAGATATGACAATACAGTGAGTTTGTGCACAAGTAACGCAAAGGTCAAGGGTGATATCGTAGAACGCAAAAAGATGACAGTTAATGCAGATGTAGAAGTTCCGGTGTAATGAACCTATCTGGAATGATGACGCTAGTTTACCTGCCAGTGTGAAGATAGGGGCTGTGACTATATTCGGTGGTGAGTCACATTCGCCACGTTGCAGTGTTGTTAAACGGACATTTGTGGCTTTTTATAGGGAGAACGCTTGCCAGTGCTCGAGTGGGGAGCGTACTTCTGTGGCCCGTTCACGAAGTTCAGTTCCAGTGGGTTTCGAGGTGCCATTCAGCTGTCGGTTGTGGGTGTTAGCTATGTACGGGGCACGTGTTCGCTATTCGACCCAAGCAATACCGGTCTCTGGGGATACGAAAGCCCAAATGACCTGTTCGGATCCAACAAGCTTTGACGGCCCGTCTGCTTTACAGTGTCGTGTCCCGGGGCGATACTCGGAAGTAAAATGGTATGCTTGAAGCTGCTTCTGTCAACTTGCTACCTGACCCTCCGGCTCACGAAAGTATTTTAACACTGCGGTGACTGGTGATCTGTGTGAACCTGAAATGACTTTCCAAGTAGCTACGTTCTAAGATGCCGCAACAAGCTAACCAGCGCCAGTAGTTCTCGTCGGGTGGTACTGTACTTTACCTCGTGTTTATCTAAGCGGCGGCTATCGTAGGAGATCACAACTTCGCCCGCCGGAGTTCTCTGGGATAACACTGCACCAATTGTTTAATCGCTCGCATCTGTATCCAACGCGAAACCCCTACTCTGGTGAAATGTCAGGAAGAGCCAAGGTTAGGGGTGTCGTAAGATGAACTTTCAGCTCTGCAAAAGCAACCTGACATAAGTTAGTCCAGCATAATTTTCGTCCCTTCTCAGTTAAACAATGTAAGGGAGCTGAGTTGGCCACAACATTAAAGCTAAACAGCTGATAGTACGAAGCTAATCCTAAGAACCTTCTGAATTCTACTGTCGCATCGCGTCGTGGCCTGGAAGAAACTTTTCGCATTTGGCGTGGTCGGCCCTCACACCTTCATGGGAGCTACTGTGCTCCAAGTACTTAACTTCAAGCAGGAGAAAGTGCCAGTTTGGCCCGTAGTTTCAAAACCTTCACGCGCAGCTGATCCAGCACGAGGCACAGCCGCCGTTTATGCTCCTCAGTCGAGCGCCCATAAACGATTGGGTCGACCAAATAAATAAAACAGCTACCAGGTGTCAGGCCCTCCAGGGCATTCCGCGGTAGTCTCTGCAACGTAGCAGGAGCATCAACCAGACCAAAAGGCATCGTTTCAAATGCATATAGACCTTTAGGAACAGTGAACGCCGTTTTCTCACGTTCCTTTGGTCTTACTTCTACTTGCCAGGAACCACATGCAAGATCCAACGCAGAGAACCAGCATGAACCATGGAGAGCATCGAATGTGGCATCGATGCAGTGCAGGGGAAATGAAATTTTAAGTGTTACCTCGGTAAGAGTTCGCTACTCAACACAAAGCCATAAGGTCCCGCCTTTATTCTTTGCTAAAACGATTGGCGGCGCAAAGGTTGACGACGAAGTTCGAATGATATGTTTGTCCAGCAACTTTTGAGCATTGACTTTAACTGCAATTCTCAATGCGCCGGTAACCTGCACACACGTTGACAGATAGTTCGTTGAGACATAGTGACAGTCACATGTTCAACTAGGTTTGTACAGCCAGGAGAACAAGCTTTGGAAAACACCTCCTCAAACTCTCGTAGCACTGAGATTAACTTGTCAGTGTTGTCTGTAGCAAAGTTAACGAATCCAATAATTGGCTCAATAATCTCCTTTTGGAAATGCGATGTTACTGTATGCGTGGCTTCTATAGTGAACCCTCCTCTTCCGGCCTGTTGCTGATCAATGACGGTTGGCGCAGCACTCATCAGTACCGTCTCGCACCCAAGTTCAACTGTACGAACATGTAAGGTGAAGAAATCCATTCCCAAACTAGTATAGCACTGTCAAATTTTGACAGGCTGTAAAAGTATGGGTGGCTAACACCCCCTGAAGTTTTACGCTTGCAGGCAGTGTAAACGCTGTTCGCAACCCTACCCTCTTGGCGTTTGCAACACCAAGCAGCTGCCTGGTAACCATGTGGAGGTCCCTTAGGCTATTGGCGATATCAAGGCTTAGTAGCGAGCACAAAGCACCAGTATCGAACAAAAAATGCATGCTAATAGCATCTAAACTTTCAGGTATCGGCAGTGTAACTTACCAGTGAAAGCAAATGCCCAAAAACTGACAATTTTGCAAACCCTGCCTAACTCGGGGTTTTCGAAAAACGAAAGGTGGGTTGTGGCCCCAGCGCTGACTACGTCTACCGAACCGCTGACAATATACGCAGTTCTCAACGGGGGATTTTCGTGCCGGGAAATGGTGCCTGTGATCAGCTGCGATAACGTCGGTCGATGGTTTTAAGATTGAACAACTATCGTGACCAAATTGGCTGCTGTCGAGTTTGGCATGCTTCAGAACTTCCCGATTCCTAGCCTTTTCCAGAACCTCATCCAACGAAAGAGAAAGTTTAACGTAGATTTGTCAAGGAGGTATTGGTCGCTTAAGGCCATCGCAAACCGCTCACATATCCACTTGTCCTGATCTTCGTACTGAAGAGCTGGAAACACTTTGTGGGCCAATATTCGGAGAGTTGCGAGAAGGCCATCTGTGTTCTTCGTAGGTAGCTGACGTGAGGGAAGAATGTGTCACGGTAAGATGCAACGGGGTAAGCATTAGAAAATAAATTTCGTACAGTGGACCAGATCTTTTCCACAGGTGCTTTAGCAGGTACGCTGGTTGTTTGGAAAAGCTGCAATGCTACTTCGCTGAGGAAACTGAGGGTGGTCGCGCCCAGTGAATTTTCTGGGGCTGCAGGGAGCTTCGCATTGGTTCGAAAGTACCAGGGTTCAAAGTCCTCACCGCGGCTGAAAACACACGGTTGGCGACCGAGGGTTTGGATCTGCAAAATTGTGACCTGGTCATGACACTCAATCTTCGGTGGGCTGAAATCAATTGTGCTAATACTTGTGGAGCTGCCCGCGACGCCAAGTCGTAGTATGCTACGGATGGCAGGTTCGAGACAAGGACGACAAATCCCGGCTACAAACGAACGGCACCAGAGAAGCAGCGACTTAGTAACTAACGCAATAACTCTTACGAAGCGATAACCTTGCAATACGATGATGCCTTGCTGAATCGAATGCGAGGACGAACGAGCAGAACGGAAGCAGATGTAGTTAACCGCGCGGCATGTGAAGAGCGTAGTGCACGGCAAAAAATTAGTCAGTATATAAACAAGTTTACAAGGAACAGGTGATGGGGCTTGGCTATGGATCCCTTCATTCATTGTGCTTTCGGTCCGCCGAGCTCTGTAAAACAAGCAGTAGAGTCATTAGCAATTGCGGTCAATTAAAACAATACACCGGTTTTAACTGTATTACATTAGATGCTCCCGAATTTCCCACGGCTCCAGTCCAAATTGAGTTTGAAATTGACCACTGAAAAGTAGTACATTCAAAGCAACGTGCTCCTTTATGCTCGTCAATGTAATTCACAAATATACTGTTTTTGGTTTATGTTCGTGGGCTTTTTAAGTATCCTTGGAAAAAGCCATTGTTATAGTTGTTCACTTGGGAGACCCGTGGCGTTTACGTGACCCCGTCCGCTCGTTTCCATTCGTCATGGTGGATCTCTGTATTCTGCTTCTGCTCTCGTCCTTTGAATTGGTTGGAGCTTCAACGAAAGAAGAAAACGGTGTTGCTATTCTTACTGCAGCCAACTTTGAAGCTGTTGTTGGAGAGCATGATTTCGCAATGGTGGCGTTTTGTACGTAAATGTCATTTGCCCTAATGCCTTGCAGATGCCCCTTGGTGTGTGCACTCCCAAAGACTCAATAAGGAATACGAATATGTCGCAAAGAAATTGAAGGTGGATCATCCTAACATTTTACTGGCCAAGGTTGATGCAACCGTTGAGTCAGAGCTTGCTACGAAGCATGATATCAAGGGCTACCCGACTTTGAAATTCCACAAGAATGGCAGTTGGGTGAAATACAACGGTGAGCCAAAGGAGACAGCTATATATGATTGGATTCTTCGCAAAACTAAGGAGGCTGCTAGGCAGCTGCAGACACTCAACGAGTTGGACGAATTCATCAATTCCAACGTAGTTGCGGTTGTTGGTTTCTTCGAGGTATATTCAGCTTCGACCTATTCTCACTTCGTATTGTAGGAGAATCACCCATCTCTCTCAGTATTTGAAAAGGTCGCTGATGAACTGGACAAGCATCCATTCGCTTGGACTTCTCTTCCAGAAGCTCGCGAGAAATATGGAGTGACCAAAAGTGCTCACGTTTCACTTTTCAAAAAGGTACTTTTGACTCACTCTAAAATATAATTTTCGTTCCAGTTTGACGAAGGCCGGGCCGATCACGAAATCGAGCTAACTGCCCCAACGCTTACGAATTTTGTACAGATGGAAAGCATTCCTTTGATCGTAGAATTTTCCCATGAAAATGCGTCAGACGTATTTGCGAGTCCTGTTCGCACCCACTTTGTCGCTTTTGTCTCACGCACTAACAAATTCGAGGACCTGAAGAATGAGATGTTTCCTGTTGCTAAGAACTTCAAGGGAAAGGTAGGTCCTACTGTTTTTCGTGTCATTACAGCATTGCTATGCTTGTGCGGCTCTTCCATAAGCACTGGTGAACATCTTTATCAAGTAGCTTTGATTCGTGACTCAGTGGCTTAGGGATAGCGGTAACAACTAACATTCCAAAGGTCCCGGGTTCGATGCCTGTTGACTATCTGATGAGATGCAATACCATCGAAAGGCGTCAGTAGTGCAGTGTTTTCGGGCAACAACTTCAAGCTCGTGGGACTGGAACGATAGGATTATCCCGTGAGTGTTCCTTCAGCGGGTCGTTGAACCAGGAGTTGACAGACTTTCAACTACTGATGGACCTGACTCAAAGACCGCATCACACCTTGTCCAACCAGTTAATACTCATGTATCCTGCCCAAGCAGTCCCTACTGGGCCGGTTATGTGAAGTTAGAAAGAGAAAAAAGTAAACTCAGAAGGCAAGAAGGGAAAGAGCTAAGCAAGTAGAATACCGATATTTGAGTCATTAAAGACGGAACTGAAAAGTGATGGTGAGTCAGTTAGGAAAAAGGAAAGGTTTTGTATTGCCGCTCAAGAGCATCTAGCTGGCGCGCAAAATCTCGGACCATAGATTTCCTAACCACATGAACTGAAAACGCATTCCAGAGATCTATAACGGCGTGACAGACGAGTTTCCGTCCTAATCCTATCATACTGGTTTATGCATTTTCAGTGAATGACCGCGGAGATTAGGTAATGTAGCGGCATTAATTATCCCTGACAAGTCCGGGCCAGTCTTACTCGTCAAAATACGATTAGTGAGAATCAGGTCCCCTCTTATCGGTAGTGCATGGAGTACAGCCCCAAACTAAGCATGCGTTCAGGATACTTCTGTCCCCATAAGCCATGCACCAACCGAGTGCCCACTCGTAACAAGCTTTCCAAGTTTTGATAAAACATGTTGGACAAGCCTAGATACAATATTCCAGGTGAGGTCGAACGGATGCCGAGGATTGCTTCACAAACAAATTTACCTTTAGGACTCTAAGAAAGCGGCGGATGAACTACATCATACGAAACCCCCGACAAGCAACCTTCTTCCAATTGGCACCAGAATGAAGTGCTGATGAGTGTACGACCCCTAACTCAACCTGCTGAGTGACAACCGGCATTTCACCACCGCCGACAACATTGGGTGGTAGGATTAGCAGCTCCGATCCGGAGAACAGAGCTTTTGGCCCTATTTATGGGCATCAACCATAAGGTAGACCAATCCCAGAGCTTATCCAAGGCACCCTGCATTGTCTCAGGACCTCCCGGGATATCCACAATATTCCAGAGCTTAAGTTCGTCAGCAAACTGAAGTCACACCCCTAGCTCCCCTGGCAAGTCATTTACACAGATCGCGGACAACAATGGCCTTAATACCGCGCCCTGCGGGACGCTACTAAGGACAGCTTACCTGAGCGAAAGGCTACGCCCCACCCTCGTCATCGAAAGCGGACACCCGTTTAAGAGCACGATCAGATATTAGGCAACACCCAGTTTTTGTTAGCATCAGATACGGTCCTCTTGATCGAAAGACCAAGGTGCACTGCAATGCAATTCGCGGTCAACATTGAGATTGCGCTTCGCAATCCATCCACACGTGTACTTCAATATGACCCTCAACGTAGCTTTGATTCTGCCATCACCGTCATCCCGGTTAAACTTCTGGTTACGGGTTTAATTAATCAGTATTTTAACTTTGTGATTAGGATACTAAAATGTATCATCATCATCGTCATTATACACGTTAGCTGCAGGTGGAAAACACTTCAGCTATTGTGCCGCAGTACAAAAGAAAAGGAAAACAGTGGCACGCGGGCTGAGTTCCCAGTAACGGATGGACATCGTTCCGAAGAGCTAACAGCTGGCTATCATGCCGTAAAAGTGAGTTATTTTATGTCTAACAAGTGCGATCGTGATTGTAGGGGATGCTAAGCAGGAGGGGGATTGACAAAGAAACTCACAACACAAACGCCATTGGGGCCGGCTCCAAGCCATATCAGCAAGTGTGTCCAACCAAACGTGTTCACCGTCCTTAGGACCCCAGTCAGGCAGTCGGGATTCACCAACCGACGCCAATTTCGAAGTGAGGATTTTCATCTCTCTCGACCAAGTCATCGCTTGGCCTCCCCTCCTCTTCCAACCGCACCCACAACGCGCAAACAATGCACGTCGCGAGAGTCGGTGTGCTGGCATGCGCAACACGGCCCAACCATCGGAGCCTAATGCGTGATATAATGGTACTGAGCGGTTGACTAGCTCTTCCTGCACCAAATACGCGACGCTGAACACGCTCATTGCTCACGCAGTGCTCCCACCAGACATGAGCTAAGCTGCGAAGTCAGCGATGATCGAATATGACGAGCCTCTTTATGTCTGTCGACCTGATGGGCCAGGTTTCACAACCACATAGGAGAGTTGAACGGACGGCTGCGTTATCAACTCTGCCCTTCAGGGCGAGGGTAAAGCCATGTCTGCGCCACAGGTGGCGGAGATCGGCAAAAGCACCTCGAGCTTTTGCTATACGGTTCGGAACCTCATCTTCAATCCCACGGTTGCTAATATAGCTGCCCAGGTACTTGAATTCCTGAACGACTTCTAGCAAATCACCACAAAGCGTTAGCGCTGTGTTGGGTCCTTGCCAATCTTGGAAAAGTAATTTGCATTTCGATGAAGCAAAGCATAGCCCGAAACGATTGACAGCCAGTGCTAATTGGTCCAGTGCTGTTTGGCATGTTTGGGAGCTGTCACAGATTAGGGCAATATCGTCCGCATACTCCAAGTCAAGAAGTCGCTCCACACCTTCTAAGTCGTGTCCAGCGAACGCTGTTTCCGTGACTTCATCAATAGCGAAGTTGAAGGGGAAAGATGACAGCGGGCAACCTTGTCTCACACCGCTGGTGATACTGAAGGGTGGCAGCAGTTTGCCATAAACCATCACTCTGTCCGAACTATGTGCGTACAGCACTTTGATAATGTTTATATATTTATCAGGCACACCTTTCCTCAGCAGACAGTCCCCAAGGGCACATCGATCGACTGCGTCGAAGGCACCTTTTATGTCAAGAAACACGACAACGGCGGGCTGCCAATAAACATGGCGGTGCTCCAACAATTGATGCAAGGTGAAGTTGTGGTCGATGCAGCCCCGATCTCGACGAAATCCGGCTTGCTCTTCACGAATCTGGCTTTCACGAGTGCCATTCAGTCTGTGGAGAATGACAAAGGCAAGTAATTTAGAGGCAATCGAAATCAGACTGATCCCTTTATGATTGCCGCATTCCAAACGGGAGTCTCCCTTGAACATTGGGACAACGACGGAGCGGTTCCAGTCTGTCGGGACAGTCTCCTGCTCCCAAAGTTTCACTATCAACTCGTGTGAATCATCTATTAGAGCAGATCCCCCGAAAAGTGCTAGGGGAATTCTATCTGCCCCTGAGGCCTTATGCAATGTCAACAGCCTGATCTCACGTTCAACTTCTGCGCGTGAGGGCGGATCCAAGGAGACGGCCCAGGGAGAAGAGCGCTCCATGCCCGAAAAAGAAACCGATAAATTGCCTTAAATTGCCTTGCAAAGTGTTCGACCCAACGCTGCAAGCATTTTGACAGGCTGTAGATCGGCTGTGCACTCGTCGCGTATGGTCTCGCTAACACCAGGTCTTCTGCATGTTTCCCGTATCAGACTGAATAACTTAGGATGATTGCCAACGGTAGCGGCTGTTTCCATCTCAGAGGCACGATGAGACCACCAGGCCTCACAGTCTTTCTTCAGGCTAGCACGTAGTTTTGCCCTGAGATTTTTGCGAGCCTCATTATATCTACTTCCAAGGGTTCATTGTATTGCGTGGGCAGAATACTGTCAGGTTGCCTATGCCTAGACAGGAGAACGATTAGGGTTCTCAACCAAAGCCTTTGGTTCAAGAACCTTGCCGCAAGACAGCGGGTTTTGGCACTGGACTACAGAGATCCCGTTTTATGAAATAAGGAGCCACCCTCATTCCAACTCCCAACCCGGAGGACCAGGAGGCTGAGTTTGTCTGGCCTCTAACCATTGATCAATCTGGTATGAGTGGCTCTGAAGGTGCAAAAAGCACCACCCAGCATAGCTCAGTGGATCTCTGAGGCACGCAAACCATCACACCACGTAAGGTCCAGCCTCATTGCGATGGAGAAAATGTGTCAGGAGTTTACCATTGCCATGTTTAGGTGCTTCATTGGAACCACAACGGCTGGATGCATCCGAGATACTACAGGGGCACCTAGGCCCGCACTGTAACAAAGGCTCAAACCCTAACATATAAGTTGCGCATCAATTGACGACCGCCATGCCACGGGACGCCCAGCGGGATTTAATGGTGCCGCAAGGCTGAGAGTTGTTGAAATTGCATGTGCCCATCCTCGTCCAAGTTAGCTACACTGAGGCATCTTAAGGCCCCTTGTGAATCCAACTCAGTATCCTAACGTCCGAACTGCACTGTTAGTGGTTGGCGACCGCTCGTTAGAAACCGACCACTGTTATGGCACAGGCGCTAGTGCGTTAATACCTTCGTTCAACCTCAGGTTGAGTGATTTTGGCCGTATCCCGGCTTGGTCACACGTCTCCACATGCGCAATTTAACTTGTCCTTCATCAGCCGCCTCATTTCTCATTAATAATTGACTTACCTGCTGATCACATTACAATAAGTTACCGATGGAGAGGCTGCGTCTAAAACTGTCGCTAGATTTGGAGCACAGGTGTGGACACCGACCATGCACTTGTATGTACTGACCTGCGGATGCGTTTTGGCGGACACCCAAGACGACGTTGTGAGCGCATTGACACCAGCCAGCTGGCGAAACCAGCTGTTCTGAATGCTTATCAAAGTACGCTGGCATGCGAGTTGAGTAAGCACTCACTGGATGCAGTTGAAGCTCACTGGTCTCATTCACCAGTCCCTACTAGCAGCAGGAAAATCATGTGGTAACTCTAATCGCCAACATGGACA